AAACTTTGTCAATCAAATGCAAAACACAGTTTTAAGCTTATATGTCTTAGTATATAAAGGAAAAGCAGTTCCCAAGAAAACACGTTGACTTCAGGGGGGGGGGGGGGGGGGGGGGGGGGGCTGTTTGTACTTACTCATCCTTGTCAACTGGTTTCGTTAATTTAGCAAAATTCGTTTGGACCATGAATTTCATCGTGTTTCTGACATTTTGGAATAGCTGACTTCCAACCTCCAGCTGAAAGTATAAATGCCTATTGTTAAACCAAGAAAGATGAGTCGACTGTTTTCGAGAAGTCCCCTTCACAGCTCCCTGCGCCATCTTTAAAGGTAAACGTGCCTGTGCATCGAAGCGAGGACGACTTTGGCCTCGCAATAGGCCCCTTTCAGCACGTCGGAATGCAGCTCAATTTGGAGGACATAACGATTGGTTCCCAGTTCTCAGGAGATTGAAATTCTTTTGTTTTGTCGTGGAGGTGTATTTTCTTCCTAGATTTGTCATCCAAATTGAGCTACTTTGACGTCGCATGCAAGGGGCCTAAAGAACTTAAAAGAGATAGCGATTGTGGTCTAGCTTTGATACAAACGTATTTTCTTTATCATGCCTTATATGGTGTTTTTTGTACCCAAGCTAGATCACAATGCATCGAAGTCAGAACACCTATGGAAGAGTTAACGAATCTCCGATTATGTCGTGTGGTGACACTAGAGAAAAACGTTCGCGCACGCGTGCATTTCAGCACGTTTTCTAGGAATTTTGAAGAGTTTGAATGAAAAAATAAATGTTTGTTTTCTCCAAGTATACAAAAAAGTTCAAGAGTATACTTTTGTCAGACCAAGAAAATTTATTAACAAACACAATATGAAAGAATTAGCCTTAAGTTTCAAGCATGGACACTAAGTTTTGGCATTTTGAGAGGTCCAATTTATCAGGCATCTTTGAAAGTCAAATTTACTTATGTTTTGACTAATTTGCATACGGATTCAGAGCATGCGCAGACGTTTTTCACTCGTGTCGTGGTATGTCCTTATTTACCACCAAATGACTGGTGGATATATATCTGATTGGCTTTTACTTACATCTTTAATCTCATTGGTCAGTTTCACAGGATCTTTGATGAAATCAGGATATCCAATATCTTCCTTAATTGCCAGAGCCTGGGAACGAAAAAGCTAGATTCGTTATCGATATCCTTGTACCCAGATCTCTTACACGGAAGGATTAGGAAGAGAAAGGACTGGGAACATTTGCGCATGCGTTAACGAAAGAAAGCCCCTTGAATCAAGGGAGAGAATCCAGGAGTTTAACCCAAGACCCCTGAGATTAGAGGTGGGTGCACTAATGCTACAGGATCGTTGATTCCCTTCATCTCGGCATATGACCTCACCTTTTGCCTCGCGTTTTCCTTCGTATTCCCATCCATCCATGTACACTCGGCAAGATTCTTCAAAAAAGATTCTCGAACATAATTCGACATCTCTTTTATCTAAAAAAAAGAAAACCTGTTTTTACCGACCAACGGAGTAACCTGACCTTATGATCGATGTTTTTAACCTGTTTTTACCGACCAACGGAGTAACCTGACCTT